ACCCCCGTAACCCCCCCGCTGGTTGCGCCACTGCCTAGTACACTGGTTCTCAACCCACTGCTGGGCCACAGAATGATTTTAAGGTGGGCCACCGAATGCTAGTTTTATTTATGTCACAATAGTTAATTTTGATTGTAGCAGCAATCAATGACGATGCTGTTTCTACTACTAAGTGGTAATTTTCGTTCTAATTATTAAAGTGAAAATGTCCATTTTGATTTTCTTGTACTTTTCTCATCGCAATAAAAAGTTAGTGGGCCACAAGAATTTTTTGGCAACAAAAATGGGCCACAAAAGAAAATAGGTTGAGAACCACTGGCCTAGTGGGTGTTAAAGATTTGGATCGTATATCGACATTGTAGGTTAAATACCTCTGATTCAACCCCCACCTTTTCCAGGGTTGCCAAATCGGATAGATTTCCTTCCAAAAATAGTGACTGCTTTTACAGAGCCTTGTTAAGAGTGAAAATTCTTCATAAAAACCAAATTGAGCTTTCTAATATGAGTCAATGTTATCAGTGGCAAGAGTTAGACTTGAATGTATCAGATAAAATGTAAGCAGAGCATGGAACTACATATGATTGAAGCAGCAAGTATGATTAAAAAATGCATAATAGTAAAGAAAATTGCTTATACTAAAATAGAAAGATAGATATAAAAATGGACTATATACTACTGCGAGTGAAATTGGAATAATAATAACAATATGTCACTTATTGTCCATATTTGTCAACTCTAGTCACAACAAGTGGTATATTATTGTGAATTTCTGCCACCCCTGCATATATCAGAATGATGCGAAGATATGGGAAGGTGAGATGAAATGCATATTAGTGTGTGCAATATTGAAGTAATAATTGTTTGATTAAAACTTTGGATTGGAATTTGACAGGCAATGGAAAATAGAAATTGCTAAAATGTTCATGCAAAAAAGTATAAAATGGCTAATTATAACAAAATGGAATGAGAAGAGAAAAATCAAAAACACATTATATCAATGCACCTTATTATAATAGTTCAATTGATTATGATGGAAAATGTTCAATAGAAAACAGAATTTTATCTCATAACTAGGCAAGTTAAGTCAATGGAAAGTTACAAAAGAACTTCAAAATACAATAATTTTAAGCCAGACAAAAGGTTGAAAAATTTAATTTTCAAAAGATAGGTTTCCTGCTAAAAAGTTTTACTTTGGATAATTTCAGTCAATATTATGACTTTCACTTATACAAGTGAAATTATGGCTCTGGATCTGAAAGTCAAAAGATAATCAGCGCGACCAGTAAAAATATATCAATATATATATATATACATCTTAGGTCAATACGACAGCTCTGCCTTTAACAGCGAATATTTTTCTCATTTCTAGTAGAAAAACAGAACTGTGTTGAACACAAATGACTTAATATTTTCAAACATGCACGGTATTTAAAAGTTACTGCTTGTCCATACGCTTGCTCTGAACAAGTGTAAAATTACAAAAATATCCATTTCTCAATTCTTATCAAGTTCCATAAAATTAACTAAAAAATATTTCTAAAGCAGATAATTCGATGCACCAGAAAGCAAGCAACACGCTTGTTATTGATGAATGCTGAGTGTTTTGGTCAAACTGAACTTAATAGGATCAAAATAGTGAGGATTTTGTTGGCTAATACCCCTGAACTAAAGAACACGAAACTTTGAAATATAATGAAAACACATGAAATGTTGGTCAAAATTCGAAAAAAAATTATTTTAATTTTTTTTTATATATTACCAGTATTCCCAAACAGACTCAACAACAGTGTTGAGTATTTGAAAATTTTTGTTTAATTAAACGTTTAATTTCTCAAGTAAAATCTAATTGAAACTGCAGATCATAAATAGCCGAAAGATTTTTTTAGCGGATCCTCCAAAGTGCTTCATGAACCCAAAAGGTCAGCGGACTCCAGTTTGGGAATCACTGAGTTAGTTAGAGTGTACCTTGTGAGAGTTATTCAAAAACTTGACTCAAAGCATCATTTTTTTCAATGAATATAAAAATGCTCTTTTACTTTTGCAAAGTATTGAAACATCTTTATCCAGTATGATAACGTAATTGAGATGGAACTGAATAGCAGTGGTAGAATAAAATATATAAAAACGGGTCAAATATGCAAACAAAGTATATTTTGACTCCCAAATCAGCATAACAACAATACCAGAGTCTGGAAATCAATCTACAAATAGGTAAATATAAGCAAAAGCATGAGTTTAATAAATTTAGCGAAATTATTGTGGATAATTTTAAAATATGAAAGGCACGTGTTTCCTTCCCCACAAACGAAAGAATAATAAGAAAATGAAAAACACAAATGAGCACATGTTTGCTCACCTATAAAAGAATGAATACTACGAGCTTGATAAAAAAATTCATTCTCTCTTACAGATTTGTAAACTCTGACCAACCGAATCTTCTCATCCTTACTCAAAGGCTTAACAACATAACAGAATCCTACTATAAGAGAAAATACTGAAAAAAGCAGCTGAAACTTAAGCAATCAGGATGAATTGGCCAGAAGTGGGAGGATGAACTGATTTAAATGTTTGTCATACAGTAGATGAAATACAATTAAATATATGCATAATTATCATGGAGTTGATCAACAATAAAAGGATGAAACAGATAAAAACGATAAAAAATTGAAAAAAATATAAATTGTTGGTTTTGAAAATTCTGACTAATTAACCTTGATTAACAGTATAGAGTTTGATTTAAAACGAAAGGTTGAGTCAAATCCGACTGATATTGCGGTTCATCAAACATTATAATATTCAGTAAGTGGCATAATGAAATGCTTGATAATAACAATATAAAATCAATGGATGGGTTCTAATATTATAGTGTCCATGTAGAGTCTAACGTCCATTGTTGATTTTGTATTGTTAGTATTCAATTTCTACACAACTTTTACAAGATAGCTATAGGTAGTTCCGGTAGGTTTAGATGAATATTCCACCCCGTTCAGGCAATTTAGGGTCTGTTCCGGTAATGACGGAAACTTATTTTTTACCACTGTACCCCCAATGTTTGCTGTTTTATCTTGAAAATTGCCTTGAGATATATAAAATGTCTTTTAAAGATGTCTTGAAAATTCCCTTTAGATATATAAAATGTCCTTTAAAGATATCTGAGTCATTCTGACTGATATTGCAGTTCACCGAACTTTATAATATTTATAAGTGGCTTGATAATGACACTACGAAATCAATGGATGAGTTTTAATATAGTATTGTCCGGATAGTGTTGAACGTCCATTGTTGATCATCTACTGTTAGTATTCAATTCCTGCTGCCTTTAATTTCGCCTTCAATGCATCACAAAGTTTATCGAGATGGTCAGCATCAGGATATCCATTGCTGAAAAAGATTAGATTGCATGAGAGATAATGGTAGTTGCATATGAGTCTGATTTCAATTAACTGTAAAAAATAAGATGTTCGATAAAAGAACACTGAAAGTCACAAATATTTGACTCCTTAGTACTGAGGAATGCTTAACTTAGCGATGCCTGTGTGAGTGGGATTTGAATGTAAGGTTTTGATGTGTAAAAAGAATGTCAAGTCAACTTTACTCGTAGGTAGAGATGAATGTCTAAACAGGTAATTTTTTCGGGTATTTAATTTCATTGATACTGTACTAAAATATGAAACATCAAAATCACTAACTAAGCCCAACACCTTATCCGTGGTGCAATGGAAGGCTTCGCCGAACATTGATCATTTTAGAGTTTTGAAACCGAGTAATGCCCCAAAGTCTTATTGTCTGCTTGAACAGAGCACTGATCAAATTGCAGTTGTAAAACCACCAAATAAAATATATATTCATGATGCGCGATGGCATAATAGTTGAAGCGTTAAACTTAATTGGGTTGGCATCGCAAACTGCACATCTTTGGTTTAAATCCAATGGCCATCACCCTACCCAAAATATTGAGTAGGCAATGCCGAATCAAAAAAGAAACTAGTTCTGCCAAATATTAGTAGCTCCTTTAATATTGCCACATATCAGTGGAAGCTTAAACAGGGCTTTGTTCACAGCAAAATGTGTGGTTAAGCGCCGTATATATAAAAACTCAAAGATCTCGTTTATAATAGAATTTTAAGAATAAGCAGTGTAAGTGTAACTATAATTTATATGTTGGATGCCCCATGAAACTTTGACAACAGAGAAGCAGAAAATTTAGTCGTTACTGGAATACGGATCAAATAGTTACAAAATTGGGCAATCATAATTTCAATGACTGATGTGGCAATAGAGAAACCCAGTAAACAACAGCTGGTCGTTAAACCTGGTTACAGTCACGTTGCAGACAATTCAAGCCTGAATACCATAATAGTTGATTCTGATTGTCACTAAGAAATTACCCTCAGTCACATACACCCTAACATTTTGCAACAGCATGACAAATCATGGTCAATATTTATCATGAATAGAAAGAACGCTTCCTGGCCATCCCTCACCCATCAACTGGAATTTGATGGATGCGATGGGTTCTTATATATAGCCTTGTTCAAAGTGAACGGTGTATAAAAGATGTGTATTAACAAATTCAGATGTTGCTTGAAATCAAGAGAGGAAAGTTGAGAACGTGAGAATGTTGTACTTGGTTTTACCTAGGACGAGACAAGATATATGTGGTTGAGTGGTTACAAATGTCACAAGCTGGATGGATGGTCATGGGATCAAAACTGCAGTCCAAACATGCCTTTCTTTGATTTATATATAAGAGTTTGTGTTTAATACAAATCATGACTTTTTGTGTGAAAGTCCGTTTATCTAACTTTGCATGGAAGGTCAGTTTGGTAAATAAATATTGCTTTGGTTGAACCTAATTTTTGCAATTCATATTTTAAAAATCTTGAATCTCAAATTTTGTTTGAACTAATTTTTTATCACATTATTACTTCATATAACTCACTCGAGGTTCCTTTTAATCCTTATAATAATTGTACAGATTATTCAACTAAAGAACTTACTTATCTGGGCCTCCACGTTTGTTAGTCTTATGAGGAATTTCATCATTCCATATTATTTCTCCTCTGCTGCTTCCAATTATCTGAATCTTGAAGAGCAATCCTGCATTGAGTGCTTTCTGGAGCAAGTCATTAAGGTATCGGTCCGAAGGCAAATATTCAGTGAACTTCTTTGCCTCATATGAAACACCCTGCAAAAATAAACATAATAGGTTATTCAACTTCTATATCTGATAATTTATTAAAACTGATATAAACACAGATGCTCCAGAAGTATGTAAATCAAGATGTCGCACAACCTGAATCCTGACCAGTACACACATACTGTGTTCAGGTTGTGCGCCATCTTGGTGCATTTGATATGATTGTATGATTTGATTGTGATTTGATAACAAAACATTCGATTTCTAGGTCAGGAGGAGGGAACACATTTGAACCAAAGATGTTTTACATGTGCAAACAAGTAAAATATCCTCAGGAAACACTAATCAGTGGCATCTTGTTCAGAGTTGCCTTCACATAACATTTATTGAAAAAAGTTTCAATTTTTCAAAAAAGAAATCAAACATAATATATCTATGATTGGAAGCAGAGTTAGAATATGATGACACTAACATATTACTGACACACAAAAAATCCACTGATATGTAAGAGGTTATTTATGAGAAAAAACAAAAAAACAGCATTTTTTCAGGCAGAGCATTGCTTGCCAATTTATATACATCAGTGGTGAGATCGTCGATCTGGGATTTGAAGATTAATGTGAAGAGAAGTAGCCAAACTACGTTGGCATCACAGGTTAAAAATCCTGGATTCAAGCACATTACTCAGTGCATAATGAAATAGGTAGGAGTGTAAGATAAATTAGGTGACAATGCAACCAGACAGATTTCAGTACTACAATAAATAGTAGTGCCTTGCGTATCAGTGGCTGCCCATACATAGCCCTGTTTGAAATAAAAGACATGACAAACGTTTCATAGAAAAAATTCATATGGTAAGTTTGTCATTTTAGGCGTTTGGAATCTTATAGTCGGATAAAACTATCAGACTTAAGATAAATTGTGATGATTATTGCCAAAATAAAATACCTAAATTACTATTTCATATAAATTCTTAAAATAATATCTTTTTCCGATATTGAATATATTTCAAATTGGGCCATGTCCAACAAGAGTCTGTGAAAATCACTGTACATTTAGAGATGTACCGATACCACTTTTGTCGCTGATACCAGCTAAAAACGCCGATACCGATACTATGTAATTATTACGTAATAAGGTGTGCTGTGTAGGGCGGACGGGTTAAAACAATGGTCTTTGAGCGTTGTTCATAGTACACATTATTTCAGATCGAAAAAAAAGATATATCACATAATATGAAATTAATGTTTGGTGTTTGCTTTAACTGATTAAGATACATTGTACAGTAACGCTAGTAATCTCAGTGTTCAATTAAAAAACTCATAAGCCGGAATGTCCAATTTGAATTTAATGTTAATATCGCTCCTTCGAATTTCGTTATTCGTGTTTAAAAGAATATCGAATATCACCCACACAGTCTAGGGCTAGGCGGTCATGTCAATATATCTATAAAGTAATTGTGTAGTTAAACAAAAATAAAATTAATACCTGCGTAGAGGGATAATTGTGTCGGAATTTAGTTTACTGATGTCGACGGACTAAATGACACTTGTACTTGACAACAAACAGTCAGAATTTATACCCGTGCCAAAAGGTCATGTGCCGTTAATAAGGACCCCAATTCCACTGTATGATTCAAAACTGGGCGCTTAGTTGCTTTATGTTACGTGCTGTGTTGATATATTTCTTCATAATTACTATGTAATATTAAAAATGTCAATATAAAAATTTGACAGCGAAAATAGCCAAATTAGTTGAGCTAGTTTGGCTGATAAATATGTTAGCTAAAAACATGTGAATCCTATTCTCTCGCGGGGGTGGGGACATGTATGGCTCATAGCTCACGATCTCTCCAGACAAAAAATGAATTAAAAAGTAGTATTCCAACTTATCTTTTAAAACATTATGGACCATATTTCTTCAATAATCAAATGCTTTGAAAGACAAATTTTGAAATGAAAACCTCAAATCAAGAATTTGCTCTATGTAATATAAACAATTGTGAATATATTCATTTATTTTGGACATCAGCACTGGTAGAGATAAATTCTGCAAGGGGCCATTAAACCAACATAAAAAAACTGCTTTCTGGAACATCGGAAAAAAAATTTCTAGAACATCTAAGCACTAAGGTGTTGTGATGGCCTTGTGGTTATAGCATTGGACTTAGCTATGTTGGATCATAATTTGAAGGTCTCAAGTTCCATGCCCACTGCCTTATCAAGGATGTAATAACTTGAGTAGGCATTGCTGAAACGAAAAATTTACATTCCATCCAAAAATAGCAGCTTCTTATGCATTAGTGGTTGCCTGTTAAGGGGCCTGTTTGAAGTGAACAATGTAATAACAAAGGTGTAATTTGCATTTAATTGCTATTTGGGGGCCAAAAAATTGTATTTGGAAGATTTAACGTTAAACATAAAATCAATGTTAATTGATACAACAAGAATCTTGGTTCCAATAAATACATAATTTAATATTCAACCAACTGAATTCATTACATGACTCACATTCAGATTTCCAGCAGGGAATGAGTAAGTGATGACATAAGTGCACCATCTATATCCTGGCAGTGATTCGTGGGATCTTTCCACTGACATTTCTCCACCAGGTGGTTGTTGGTTGATGATTCTTAGACCAGATGAAGCAGCTTGACTTGAAGACTGAGATTCTGAAAATTGAAACATTATTTGATAGGAGGGGATTAGTAAGAAATATCACAATACTGGGCTATTATTATACATAAAATAAATTGATAGGGCATATTGTAATCTTTCATAAAAAAATAAACAAGGTCATATTGTAATATTATATAATAAATAAACGAACAACTCTTTTGTGATTCTTGAATCCACGAAATACCTTAGCCCCCATGCCAATACTAGGCTCAAATTGGATAATATATTTTTATTTATGCTTTTTAAGCAGTATTGAATTTCTTTACACGACGCTTATCTACGCCTTCGTACTGAACAAAGTCCTGTACAAGCAGTCACTGATATGTAAGTAACTGATAAGCCACTGATGTGTGAGAAGCTACTATTATTGGGGAGGAACAGCGTTGCCTACCCAACCCATTACACCTTGGGTGTGGTGGGTGAGGTGTGGAATTTGAACCCGGAAGGCGTAATCTGAAATGGCAACAGTTAAGCCTATTGCTTCAACTGTTACGTCATCACCCAGTGATCCAAATATAGTATTTACTGGGTATTGGTTCATTCGGTTTTAACCTCGTTACTTTAAAAACAGAAATGAATGAATGGAGTTAGGATGACCAATTTTCCTAATTATGCTAAATATTATACCAGTATTTATTTTATCCATGGATTAAAAATTATCACAATATTGTTCAGAATTATGTAAAACAATAAGCTAGATATGAACAATCCATAGTGAAATCAGACTCAGTGCTCACTTCAGTAATCTCAGGTATGAAACACAAATGCTAAAGATTGTACCTGAAGTGTCACTCCTATATCCACCCACTGCTCCCATCTTTGAATTTTGGACATTCCTAGAGCTGTGACTACTTGATGCAGTGTTGCCCAGGGAAGTTACTGAATTTGCTCTAATACTTGTAGATGTTGGTTGCTGGACTGGCTGATTAGAAGATTCTGAACTCTTTCTTGCCCGAGATAATATTTCATCAAAAAGTCTATCGTAGCATTTACTAGAGTCATTGACTAGAGTTTCCGAGCGGATGGTTTCTTCCAGAAATTTTAAGGGAAATTTTTTCAGGTCAAGAAGGCTGAACAGTTCATGAAAAATCTTTTTCCTCCTTTGAAGATCATGCTTTATCCATCTAAGAGCTCCATGCCATTTAACAGTCTCGGAAGAATATTTTGTATTTGGGGATTTGTAAATCCTTACGATGTCATCCTTGCTGATATCACAGAACTCCTTTTTCTCGATGATTAGTTCGAAATTTGATTCCAGGAATTGATTCATCACATTTTCCACAGCATTTGGGTTGGTAGCTTGATGAGTTTCAGCCATATTCTTCAGGATGAAGCAGCTGTCAATCTCAAGATTTGTCTCAAGATTCTTGACATTAGAGAATAATGCAGTGATGACTGAATTCTTTGCAATGCCATTACTTTTCACCAGTGGTTCTTCCAACACAGTCTCCAGAAGAAATTTGAAAGGATAAGTCTGGATATTGATGACTGGAACAAGATCGGCAAAACATCTCTCTGCATCTTCATCTTTTGCTCTTGCCCATGTTATCATAGCTTGCCATGATGTTTGATAATTCATACTTGGAGTTTTTATGTAACGCAGGAGATCTGGCTTGATAATGAACGGGAACATCTCAGAGGAAATTACTGTTTCGAAATTAGTGATAAGCACCTGTTCTGCTTGTTCTTTTATATCGAGGCGATCGTACGCTTGAGCCAAATTGATGACAGAAAGACAATTGGTCAAGGAGAGATGGGTTTTCAAGTAATGGAAGCAAAAGTTTGTCAAGCCAACCATTTGTAACAGGTTGGATGCTTGCAGGATTTGTTGAACGTATTCCATTTTCAAATTTCCCACTCCTTTATACATGAATTCTATACATTGGGAAATTCCATTCTGATCGACATCCTTCATATTGATAAACCCATCACGAGATTCCTTCATTTTGCTTGTAAACATCGCTTTGAAGTATCCTGACGAGGCTGCCAAGACACAGCGATGAGCACAGAAGGATTTGTCACCAACTTTCACATCGAAATCGCAGAGAATGTTTTGTTCTCTCAAGCTATCGAGTGATGTCATAAGCAAACTGGCTTAGGTTGAATTTGTTTGTTTAATGTAATCTTCATTCATGATCAGTCAGCTCAACCTTACTCAGATCAGAAACTAAATATAACAATTCTAATGCATGCATAAAAATAATACATTTTGTTAACATTCGAAGTATATGAGTATAAGATAGTGATAGATTGGAATAGTCTACCCATGCTATCTCATGTGTATATCATAGTTCCCACCTCAGATAATATATATCACGTTTTAATGCAGGTCAATTACAATACAAGACTTTTAAACATACAATATAAATA